CTTACTTCAGGACGTGACTAAACGTTTAAAAACAGAACTGGCTAAAGTCATTCCTAAGGATGGAAAACAGGATGGAAAACAGGATGGAAAACAGGATGGAAAACAGGATGGAAACGACAACTTTGAAGTTAAAGTGAGTTTTTAATTTAATTGCCTTCAATAAGTCTTTTCTTAATATCTTGGATTTTGTTAATAATCATTTGTTTCAAAAGATGTTGCGAACCTCCAATGAGCCATTATTTACATGTGAATATAAACACCAGCTTCTCTGTCACACTTCTCATTTAGGTTGCCAAATTTGACTATGGAAAGAACAACGAAGACCCGATCCGTAACTATACATATTTCTACAGCAAGTTTAACCCTACCATTGGATTCAAGATCAAGCCAGAAGAGGTCAGAATCACAGTGCATATATAGGGCAACTTTCTGCTGCACATTTTGTCATTTTTATGTCACTGTCCTTGTTGTCAGGTATCCAATCTTCTCCCAGAATGCTTTTCTGAGAAGCATATTAGGGTTTACTGGAAGAGACGTAATGATAAGCGTCTGGAAGATGCAAAGAAGTGCTTCGAGGCTGTGAAAAAGGTATTAATATTAGAGTCCTAATTACAAATTACAGATTTATAACTTTGCCTTTTTGGTTGTACTAATGAACTTTATATAAATACAGGAGGTGGAGGAGAATTAGAGTGACGTCAAAAAAGCAACACCAGGAGACGCCCAGTGAATCTGAAGATGTTAAACATTCAGACACTAAGTTTTAATGATACTGCAGAGATTCTGAAACAGGAATTTAAATCATAAAAGTTAAGTACTTTGTCTATTTTACAATATCTTCTTTTTGTTTTTTGTCTTTTATTTTAACTAAGTGGTTTAGTTTGGAAATTAAATATAACCAATATATTTACATACTGAATGATTTGTAAATCTTCCACATCTCCGGTTGATATAGTTTTGTGGTTGGCAAGGCTTTTTTACTTTCTTCAATATGTATCAATGTGAAGTAAGAACCTAAAATCTAAAACAAGTCATGTATTGAATAAACTATATATCACGCAATTTTCACTATTATATTATATCATATAGCTCAGCTCTGATCAATATATGGTTAAGACAAGCATTGGGTATTCTTGTGAGTTTTGACTGTGTGAAAATTTATTCTTTATTACATATGTAATGGGTCTCTAAATGAAAACCTACCAAAGGTTAATTGAAACTTTTAGCTGTTTTACTGTTTAGATGTGTTTGTTGATTTCTGGTCTATTCAAAATAAAAGCTCCTTTTCTCTTTCTGTTGTATCATTTTGAAGTTACACCAAAAGAAGAAATTTTGATATAATGCTATATTTATAAAAGTGTATATTGACTTCCCATACATACAACGATGGAAAAAAGGTAAACATTTTAGTTTACCTTACTTTCCTAATTTAAAGGCCATTTATTTCCCATTTTATGGGGCATTTTCTCCTATCAATAACAGATGATAAACTGGTATTAAAAAGATCATCCAAGGCTGAGCCAAAGGAGGGAGGTTGCAGGAATTAGGCTGGGGAAGAAGCACTGATGCTATCAGGCTAGAAATGCACCTATTCTTAACAGCTACATATTCAGCTAAGTGTTTTAACATCAGTCTACAATGTGGCAGGGTGTTGGAGTGGGCACCAGGTATTTATGACAACAGCTGGTTAACAACAGCTGGTGACTTGAAGGTCCACACCTTACTACTGCAAACAAGCATCTACAGGCAGAACATACAGGAAGTAAAAGGTGAGGGACAGAGTGCACAGCCAGATACTAGAAAACTGAGGTAGAGCTTTAAGACATGTCCAAGCATGTGGTTTATATTTATGATTTTTGAGAAAATAACACTAAATCAAATTACTGATGGTGAATAGGAACAAGTTCAAGGTATAATGGATGACTAAAAATCCAGCAGCAGGTTTACAGTTTACATTTATCAGAGTGAATTGTAAGCACCAAAACTGATGGTAGAATTGATTCAAATGGGGTTATCATTAGTACATTAGTATCATTAGATATAGTTATAAGAAATGAGAGAAAAAAATTATAACTATGCAAATATTTATTTTACTTGTTTTATAAACCATTCAATTAATTAATCAAAGTAAATAGAATAAAATTGCTACACTTGTATTTTAAATATTTAAAGAACAGAGCAGACTACTATACAGTGTTGTTTGATCCGTGTGCTTTACCGCATAGCGTCCATGATAATGACCGTCTCTCCTTGACAGCTCCGACGTTTTTAATCAATATGAAGTTACTGTACATAACACCGCCTTTTTTACGCGTTTACGTCACCGAGTCACTTTATGTCAAGCCTATTCAAATGGCGGCCCGCGGGCCAAATGCGGCCCAGAAGCAACCTGCGAGTGGCCCTGCCTGTTGTCCTGGCAGAAACACAGAGAAAACGCAAAAAATTTATTCATTAATTAATTTAAAAATTTTTAAAAATTCCTACAGCGTAGTGTAGACTGTGAATGCAACACTCCTAGCAGCCTAGCAATATTTAACCCACAATGCACCGTGATGTAAACATATTAAACAATCATTGTAATATATGATGCGACAACAGCATGTCTTTCTCAGTCCTAAAGCGCAAAATGAAACTGACAATGAAAACTGTCGGTTTAACCCTGCCTGGACTGACAAATGCTTATTCATTTTACCGAGTTTAATAATCTTACAACCGGAGTTGTACTACCATGGTGAGGGTCCTGTACAGCCCAAGAGAGAGCTGCAGCATCTTCCCTTCCTGCTTCTTGGCGAAGAAAAAAAGACCTTTCACAGATTCTGAAACGGTGAAATACTGCATGCTGGCCGTGGTGGATGCGGTGAAAAGTGATGAATAAATTAAAGTAAGTGTGACATCTGCTATTAAAAACGTACCCCTGTAGGACAGTTCAAATATTCGTAGAGTTGAAGTTCTGGCGTCAGACGAGTTTGAAATGCTGTTAGATGACCTGAAGAAAACTGATGTCTATAGCAGGAGATCACAGACAGAACTGATAGTGCACAGTTGTGCGTATATGTCCGTTTTTTGGATGGGAAATTGCTCGGCTTACTACCGTTAGAGGGACACACAGCTGGCGAAATAATGTTTGAGAAGATTTTGCGCTTTTTTTGAGGAAAATGGTTTGGATATGAAGCGTGTCTGTATACTTGTGACGGATGGGGCTCCATCCATGGCAGGAAAAGTGAGTGGTCAGCGAAATATTTATTTTAATTTGAAAGGGAATTATCAAAATGTTTTTTTGTTGTTATTATTATTATTTCAAATGTGCAAAAAATAGTTTAGTTATGGCCCCCTTTTTTTAAATGGACCTTTTGGTGTGCATTTGTGAGAGGTCACCAGATTTACAGGGGAAAAGGAATAAAAAAATTACTTGGTTTTCAATACAGTTGTGTGGGTTTGAAATTGATCATGATCTGCTGCTTACTGGCTTCAAAAAAAAAAATATCTGGCCCAGATAAATTCCTCGGTTTGAAAATCTGCCCCAAATAACTTCGTAGTTGAATAGCCATGCTTTATGTAATTCGAGGCTTCATTCGCTTCATCGCAATTTGCTCCGCCCCCTACTTGTCATCCAAGTACTTGGCACGTGCATCAAGCTGTCTGCAAGTAGCGAGTTATAGACCGGAAGCAGAATGTGTTGCATATTTTTTAAATACGTATCAAGAAGATCTTCTTCATTTATTTAATTATTAACCAATACTTTAGCAGTACTCTTTATAAGGGATTATTGATCTATAAAATTTAACAGGGAATTAGTGAGCGTATCAGAAAAACAGGAATAAAATTGTTGTTGTTTTTTCAGTCATCTTTAGTCATTGGATACTTTTATAATTCAACATCATAATCTTTTGGTGTATAAGTGTCTGAGTTACGGGCTTCTGGTTTTGTTTTGTATTCAGAGTCTGCTGTCATAAAGACCCAGAACTTTATGGAAATACTTTTTGAGGTAAACACAGATATGTCAGGCTCAAAAGTGGCCCAAATGTGCCATTCCTATAAGTCAAACTTGACCCTGAGTGATATTCTCGATTCGGGTCAATATTAGGTCAGCTACAAGTCTGCCGTACAGTACAAGCCAGATGTCAGCGATATCAGGTGTTTTATAACATTTATCTCCAAAAGTTGATTCTGTTCATCTGGACGTAGCGTTTTGTGGGAGAAACGTTTCGTCACTCATCCAAGTGACTTCTTCAGTCTCAGCTGACTGCAGGTTTCCCCAATCTCAGTGGTTGTTGATCAATGGTCATGAGAATTTGCATAATTAAGATTAAGGAACTGACCTCCCAGCCCATTGTTCCTTCAGTGTGCTGGTTTCAGTCATTATGCAAATGTACTGTTTATAAGATTGGGGAAACCTACAGTCAGTTGAGACTGAAGAAGTCACTTGGATGAGTGACGAAACGCTACGTCCAGATGAACAGAATCAACTTTTGGAGATTTACTTACGTGGATGATTGAGCATACATCAAGACCTTCTAACATTTGGTTATAGCAGACCCAGATGGCACTTGCCATCACATATACCAAACCCAGTTCATAACTTCTGGGCCTCATGTGGAGAACACCATAGACTTTTAGCCCAAATAATAATTTAGCAGTGCCAATACTGATCAGTCAGTAATAAAAAATAGCCCAGATTAGATGGGGAATGGAAATGTGGAACGATAATAGTTTTGGGGGGATCTTTGCTTTTGCTTTTTGGTTATGCCACCCAAAAAGCAGGGCGTTAAGATGGGTTTTATGCTGCAATATCCCATTAAAATGGCATACTGAAAACATTATTTGGACACACAAATTTTGTTTTCACATGAAGAGCAATTTAAAAAAAATCACTATAGCTGAGCATAATATAATTTATCTTTAAGAGAAAACAATCAGTCATAACGTCTTGGTCGGTCAGCCATGTGAACAAAACAGTCTTATTTTGAAAGGAATCCCCGGAAGCGCTGTTAGTGTTTCGCTATGTTTTGTGGCTCCCTGGGGAAAGTCAAAACCCCGGCATTTTTCACTTCTCTCGTGTCTTCTCTGCACAGTTGTCAGATCAGCTGCAGTAGTCGACGGGAGAACGGCTATCGGCTATAATTTGTCGTGCCTTAACTTGCGCATCTAAAGCGAAAAGGTGCCAGTTTGTTAGCTCACCATGGAGAACCGAAAGCGACCATTAGCAGCGGTTTCAAGCCCAGACGATAGCTTCAAAACGCCGGAAAAGAAAGTGTCAGTGGTCCGGGTGTCGGATTCGGACTACATGCAGTGGGGAGTGGAGGAAATGTGCCGGTACCTGCAAAGAGAAGGTCTTGGAGAATGGGTGGATACATTCAAGGGTTGGTTTTCTGCTTTTGCTATCTTAAATTAGGCGCTCGAAGCTAAATGTTATTAGCGCTAATCTGCGGACTTCTGTTTTTATTGTAACATCTAAGCTAACATTGAAACTGTTGTGTTATACAGCACAAAAAATCACAGGTGTCGGGCTTCGGGATCTCAGGGATGCTGACCTGGAGAAGATTGGCGTAAAGTAAGTGCGTCCTCTGTAAAACATGGGTTGGGCGTGTGGACTGGGGGAAGTCTGGTGTCCTGCCAAAAAGCAATTTCCGGTTTCTTTGCCAGAAAACGATTACCAATATTTAAACCACTGTAAACGACACGCTGAACTGTAAGCTGTCACATACATACGTACATACATACATTTTGACTCAGAGAGAGCATCCCTGTCACAGGGTACAAGCTGACTTTTACATATCTTTCATGTCATTGAGATTTAAAATGTCTCTTTCAAAAGCGATCTGGCTGACAGGGCTGTATAAATTGCAAGAAATAAAACAAAGCACGTATATTAATATATTTAAAAGTACTGGGTTGGATTACCGTGTGGAACTTAAAGTAGGTACAATAATGCAGTCATAACAAAACTTGCAAAAATGGTAATTTCAACATTTTCATATAACCCTTCGTAAATCTTCTTACTACAGGCTATTTATCAATATAGTCAAAGTTATTGGACCTAAAACAAATGCATAGAAACATCAGCAATCAGTTTGTGTCACAGCTGGTAAATCCATTAAAGAGAGCAGCGCACACCTGTAGTGTCAAAGAAGGGCAATTTGGTGTGTATGTACAGCACCCATAAAAAAAAACACCAGAGCCAGGCTCAGGGAGGAGCAGCCATTTGCTGCGGTATAACTAAGGTATGATTCAGGATCACCTGATCCAGGCAGAACTATGAGCTTTATCAAGTCTCATCTTAAAAGAAGAGACTGAGAAGAGTGTCTGTTTTCTGAACCCAAAGTGGAACTGGTTCCACAGGTGAGAACTCAAAAACTGAATTCCTAGCCTCCCGTTCTGCTTCTGTTTTCACAGCAACCTGGTGGACTAGTTTTTCAGCATCACTCTGACACAGGACGTTTCTAATTTTATCAATATTACGCAAGACATTTTATGCATCTCACCAGATATTCCTGCAACTTTTTCACTTTTATTTCTACCTCTTCTTTTTCTATTTTATTCTTCCAAGGTGTCTGGGTGACCGTCTGCGGATCCTAAACAGCCTCAGGAAGCTGTGGCAGATTGAAACTGAGCCAAGCAAGGTAACAGTTGTTTCACTGTTTTGTGCGCTTTCAAGGCTGTGGAGATAAGTAACGCACAATTTGGGGAAACGGAAACGTGGAGCACTGCAACCCTGATTTGGATAAGCTGTTAGGAAATGTGGCATAACACCACAGTCTCTGAATGAAAGACATTCTCTGTCCTCACTGGCAGAAGGACCTACCTGATAGTTCTACTAAGAAAAATTTAGAACTTTTTAAATTAACCAAATTCCTGTCACTCTGCAGCCATATTGATAACACCTCTTTTGCCATTTTTTTCAGGCAGGAAATGTTAAGAATTAATTGCTGTATTTTAGTCAAACCATAAAAGATTAAAATTGAAGATGTGTGCTGAAAACAGGGTTTCAGAAAGTCTTTTTGGTTCTGGAAGTCATCTACATTTGGACTATATAAATATATCCATTGGTAATCATAAGGTTTTTTTGTCTGATTGTTCACGCTACAAATAAAATGTGACAGCAAACGCGCTCTAGTGTGAACCGTTCACGACCCTCAAAGCGGCCCGCATGCACAAAAGAAGACGTCACACACAACGTGTTCTGTTTACACCCAGACCAACAGTATTGTTTGACTGATGGCCCTTAATATAAAGACTTGTTTCAGACTTTACGTTTCCCAATTTTGCTTTAAGTTATAAAGTTATTTTGTTATTTACATATGGCCTAATAATCATCCTTATTGCTGTTTTAGAGGAGCGGTGCTTCAAAGGACAGTTGGGGATTTCTGTCAGAATCTGCAGATTATACAGTACAAATAAAATGTTCACGTTTCTCCAACGTTGTCTTCCCAACAGTTTCACTAACATCTACACTGGATGGCCAGGAAGCGTTCACGATGTCTTCTCCAGCGCTGATAATTGGCGTCTGTCTTGTGTCAGTGACGTAAAAGACGGATTTAATGGGACATGACCGTTCAAACAGCAGTCGCTTTCTAAAACATCAGATATGTATCAGATTCAGCACCACATACAAAAGTGACCCAGATCAGATTTGAAAATATCGGATGTGTGCTGTTCACACTGTCATACCATGATCAGATATGGGTCGCATAGGGTCAAAAAAGTCAGATTTGATGCGCTTTCGCCTGCAGTGTGAACGTAGCCATAGAAATGTTTGCCAACATTTCCACTGAAGTGTAAACTGAGCATATTTGCACACTGTGTTGAATATACTGTATGTACGGCCACATAAATGTATTTTGTGGTGGTATACTCATACTGTCTGTTATTGTTTGTGCTTCCAGGTGTTTAACGATCCTATCCACGGGCATGTGGCGTTACACCCGCTTCTCATCAAAATCATCGACACACCTCAGTTCCAAAGATTGCGAAACATCAAGCAGCTAGGAGGGACCTACTTTGTCTTTCCCGGAGCGTCCCACAACCGATTCGAACATTCGCTTGGGTATGTTTTTAGTTCAACAGACTGTTTATTGAGAAGTGTTAAACTGATCTTGTTTTGCTGTTAACTACACATAAAGCTGTAAAATCATACCGAAGAGCATATCCTTCTCTCTAATATAATAGTATTAGAGTTTTATCACAGGTCACACAGAAAAATTAGCTCCAAGTTTATTTTACAGTGACAAACAACCTATTCAGCCCTGCCTGCCTCATGGCTAATAACAGCTTTCTGTTATACTGGCAAATATGGGTATGGCAGAAAATAAGTGGAATAACAACACGCAAAGTCAACATTTCAATGACTGTTAAACATAGATGTGTTGCACATTTTTAAACCTTGCCAACCTTTTTTTTTTTTTTTTTCAGATAAACTCATTGCTTGAAACACCTGAAATTGCTAAACTAAAAGTGAAATTTATCACATAATCAAGTTTCACTGTGTATCTTGTTTGAAATTAGCGATTTTGTTTTGTCCTGGCACAGTGTGGGTTACTTGGCTGGACGGCTTGTAAAAGCTCTAAACGAGAGGCAGCCGGAGCTCCTTATCTCTCGCAGAGACATCTTGTGCGTGCAGATTGCTGGGCTGTGCCACGACCTGGGTAAGTGGTGTTATAAAAGAAACTTATTAAAACGTGTCACATGATACTGATGTAAATTAAAATGGACTAAAGGCAATTTGCTCAACCAATGCTGTGTTTACCGTGATTACTTACTGGGTCTGAGCACAAGTTAAAATAAAAGTGAAGCTGTGTTATTTTATTCTTATCATCTGTTTACCAGACCGCAGTGGAGCAAAGTTAACACAAACACATTATGTACTTTTCCCTTCCTAGGACATGGACCATTTTCCCACATGTTCGATGGTGTGTTCATCCCCAAAGCACGTCCTGGTATAACCTGGAAGGTACTGAACTCTGTGGCACAAATGTTAAATGAAAACAGCAGTTAAGGAGAACACACAAGGTCGCATACAGGGCAGTATCAGCCACACAGGGAGTCGCAGTAGTTCAGCACCACTTTATTCTGAGTAACCCAAAATAAAAATATATAATTACATATTTTTGTAGCTCCACTTTTTCTCAGTAGCAGCGTGGAGCCTCTCAATGTCCTCAGTTTCATTTTCCCTGAAACTACTCTTGCATTGTTGACATGTTGTTTTCTTGAGGTTTTAGCTGCTGCAGTGAGTCTTAATAAAGCTATTTGGCAAACAAAGAAATGAGAATCGGCACCAGTGAGTCACATCTACAACCTACTTGCCAGAACTTGCATTTAAGCATGCAAGAAAAAATACTTTTTTTTTTTCAAAAGCCATCATACTTGACCTGAAGTCCTGAAGCTAGTTATAATTTCTAAAGGAAATAATGTTTCTGTTTCTGAGTTGTTTAAAATTAGGAAGTTACTGCTTTAACAAGATGTTTTTAAAAATAAAACCACACTGGATCTGACTTTTTCCAGACAGATGATGACTACTGTCTGGAAAACAGGCGATCTTTGTTGTGGCTCTTTTGGGAAGTTACAGGAAAAGCCTCGAGTTGTCTAAGTCATCTCACTTTGGAGGATAATGAAGCTTGAGTGCTATTGTGTAAATAATTTCACTGCTACCTAAAGACATCCAGCTAATGTTAACATTTAATTGGTGATGTAGGCTTTTAAAATGCCTACCGGCTCAACTCCCTTCATTCTATCGATAGTTGAAACAGTTTTTTAAAATCAAATCATAATTCTGAAATTATTTCCACTCGACCTTACAGTGAAGATCAATTTGCAGCAGTTGCTGGCGATTTTTGTTTACAGAAGCTCTTTATTGGCAATTATAACAACTGCGGGTGAAGACCTAAGCACAAAGCATTATTTGATTTGAAACTTTCTCAGTTAATGGCAAAGATAGCGATTGTAGTGTTCAGACTGATAAGGAGAGCTGATAAGAACACTAAGCACACGGTCATTGTGTACGTTATGACCACAGGCATGCTGTCTGGCAAACGTGAGAGATAAGACGAGCTTTCACGGTTGTTTCCTGTCATGTTTATTCTGAAGTCAGCACTTTCAAGTCACTGATAGTTCAATCTACTGTGTATCTCCCAGCATGAGACTGCCTCTCTCTCCATGTTTGACTACCTGGTGGAGGCCAACGGGCTGAGGCCTGTGATGGAGGAGCACGGGCTGGTGCTGCCTGAGGACCTGGACTTCATTAAGGAGCAGATTGCTGGACCATTAGACAAAACAGCAGCTAAGGGCAAAAAGGTACCTATCAGTTATTCCTGAATGGAACATGTCAGTAACTTCAACGCTCCACTGTCGGATATGTGATTTCTGTATGAAGTAAACCAGGATTTAGAGCCCTGCTTTAAATCTACACTTTAGTCTGTATGTATATTTACACGCTGGTGTGTGTGTCTGCAATGCATTGTTATACCATCACAGGTGAAACTGTGTCTTTATGTTGAGACTTCTGTTAGAGTTTCTCTATATTGGGCACATCAGACTACCGTGTAGGCTGAAGGTTTAGACTAATCCAAAATCTTCAGGTTCAAAAAAACCTTGTTGAAGTTTAGTTTTTTATATTTAACCTTAACTTTTTTTTTCTTAGATTCTTTAGATGAATTTACTTTGAAAATGTAATTATTGAAAGACAATTGGAAAGTCTCCTTTAGCATAAAGTGCAAGTTTATTAGGTTAACCATTAACCTGATTTGGTGCCATCACATTAATTGTGAACTTACACGACCTGTATAAAAGTTGTTTGTGTGTGTGTGTGTGTGTGTGTGTGTGTGTGTGTGTGTGTGTGTGTGTGTGTGTGTGTGTGTGTGTGTGTGTGTGTGTGTGTGTGTGTGTGTGTGTGTGTTTGGGGGGGTTTTGTTTTTTTTCCCCTAATGTTTTCCTTTGGTTGTTTGTTGTTTTTTTTGTCTGCTTGTATATTTTTTTGCATTTGTTTTTGACACTCTAAAAACCCAGCAGCTGGAAATTGAGGCAGATAACTGCCCTGTTTAATCACACTTCTGATATTATCAATCATCTCCACAGTGGCAGTATAAAGGCCGTCAAAAAGACAAGTCCTTCCTCTACGAAATCGTGGCCAACAAAAGGAATGGCATTGACGTAGATAAGTGGGACTATTTTGCAAGGTGGGGCTTATTGAGTTAGTGTTTTGTTTTAAAATGATTTCCCAGTTTGTATATTTTCTATTAGATTTAATTACCTATCTCCCTTATGTTTCTCTTTCTCCATCTTAACTCAGGGACTGTTACCACCTGGGCATCAATAACAACTTTGATTATAGCCGCTTCCTAAACTTTGCCAGGGTGTGTGAGGTGGACGGGCAGAAGCACATCTGCACTCGAGACAAGGTGCTAGATTTTGTTGCATCTGTTTGCTTACTTTAAGCAGCAGTTTGAGTTTTAAAAGATATTTGGTCACTAAAATACATCCGCTCCCTTCAACAGGAAGTGGGAAATCTATATGACATGTTCCACACCAGGAACTGTCTTCACAGAAGAGCCTACCAGCACAAAGTGTGCAACATCATAGAGACTATGTGAGTAGCTGATCCCTCTAATAGTTTTGCTTTGCTTCATGCTTTATATTCTCTAACTGTACACAGCAAAATGTCCTCACATGTAAAAATCTGTTGGACATGTTTCTCCAGGATCACAGAGGCTTTTTTAAAAGCAGACCCACACCTTCAGTTTGAAGGTAAAGAAGGGAAGATGTTCACGCTCTCCACAGCCATTGATGACATGGTGGCCTACACCAAGCTGACAGGTGTGTATGAAGGGGTGTTGTTAGCTTATATTTGTAGTGCATCAGGACAAAAAACGAGGCGAGGTCAAGACTTCATCCCATCAAAAACTATCTGTATAAAAGAAAATTTAATTTCTTTTTCAGTCAAAACCTGTAATTTTCAAGCTTGTCTTTCAAGAGACAGTATAGTAAAGATCTTTATCGATATTGATAACCCAAGAAAATTCTGCTAAATTAAACATGATCAGTTTTTATTACTAGTGCTTGTCATTACTTGTTAATAATTTGCAGAACTAGCTGGCTTCTTTTAAGTGTGCACCTGCAGGTTTAGTGACTACCGAGTTTTGGCAAACCCTCAGTAAATATTTTTATTCTCTCAGACAACCTTGATCTGTTTGTGCACTGTGTTAACTGCCTCTGTGATTAATGGTGAACTTGTTGAAATACCAGTTTGGATTAAAGAACAACCTCACTTTTAATAATAATAATGGATTGGATTTATATAGCGCTTTTCAAGGCACCCAAAGCGCTTTACAATGCCACTATTCATTCACTCTCGCATTCACACACTGTTGGAGGCAAGCTGCCATATTGCGCCATCGGCCCCTCTGGCCAACACCAGTAGGCGGTAGGGTAAAGTGTCTTGTCCAAGGACACAACGACCAGGACAGAGAGCCCGGGGATCGAACCGGCGACTTTCCGGTTACAGATACGCTTCCCAACCCCCTGAGCCACGGTCGCCCCACGACATAATATATAGAGAAAAAAAAGAAACATTATGATTGGTGTTAAGGTACAATTTCTAATCAACTAATTAACTAACTAATAAACTCCAACCACTTATGCACTAAAATACAGTTTGTGTTGTGCGTGTCAAGTAACTCAGCTGAGTAGAAAAGGACTAATTTGTGTTTCTGCGATAATCGTGTGCATGAGAGATTGAACCGTAAAGCCACATTTTTATTGAAGGATCTTTTTAAATACTGACATTTTTGGTTCTTTATTTACCTGTACCCTCTTTGTTTGCCTGGTAGATAATGTGTTTGAACAAATACTCAACTCCTCCTCCCCCGAGCTTGCAGAGGCGAAACAGATCCTGCACAACATCGTCTGCCGGCGCCTCTACAAGTGTCTGGGCCAAACTACCTCAGAAACTTCCATACATGTCACCCAGGTATTTTTTTTTCTTAGAGGATTTCTTATAAAAGCAAAAGAATTAGCAACAAAGCATGCAAAAAATTAAAACAACTTTGCTCAATAAAATAATACATAACAAAATAGCTCAGAAAGGTTAAAGAATTGCCTTCAAAATTGAAAGTAAAATGCAAAAGATGGCACGGGTGTTTGAGTAAATCAGAATCCCAGTAAAAAGGAGCAGGTTTAGCACGTTTATTGGCCCGACGAGGTTCTCCCACCTTTGTTTTCTCTCAACAAACAAATTTTATAATAGAAAAAAATATTGAAAATGACGCACTTGCTTTCAGTGTTATTTGTGATTGAGCTCCAGCCTCTACTCTACACACACGCAGAGGGATGAAAAGAGGCTGCATCCAAGTGAAGTAAAAGATGAGCTGAAGTTAGTAATTAATTAAACTCCTTGTGGTTAAAAAAGCCAAAAGACTCAATTTTAAGTTCAGACTGAGCTTAAATGTGGAGGAAGGTGATCTTTTCACTTGTTTCCATTGATAATGAGCATGTTCTGCAAAGCAACAGCACAAATGATGTAAGAAGACACTAAAACAACAACCGTGTATGCAGTTTGTAACAATCTTCCTACTTTGCAGACTAACAGCAGCCGTCTTTCTGTCTTATCACTGCAGCATGCAGGGAGAAAGCATGAACTCCTCCTAATTTAACTTCCTAATTATCTTTGCACTTTGAGATGATGATGATGGTGGTGATGAGGGGACATTATGTGTCCTGAAAGTAAAGACATAATGTTTCAGTTAATACTGAAATGAACGTAATCTGACAGCTGATAACGTGAGCTGCAGTCCGAGCTTTCCCGGTTGCTTGTTTTGTGCAATCAAGAAATAAAACAAAACAACAAAACACAGAGAGATTCTCTGTTCGCCGACGCATACAGAAAAGAAAATGATCAGTACTGAAGTTTCAGCCAAATGTTGACATTTTGCAGTTCGCTAATTAAAAAATGAAATGGAAAACTCTGCCTGTTATGTTTCTGCTGTTTTGCCAAATGGATTTGATATGAGAAATTGCTCATTCTGTGGTTCTGTGTTTGTTAGTGTTTTTTTTATTTTATTTACATGCTATATATAGAATTTCAGTTATTTATAATATGTAACAAAAAAAATATGATACAATGATATATCTGTTAACTCTGCAATTTCTTGCTGTTTACAAGGAGACGATCAAGAGCTTGGAAGCTGACCTGGCCCGATCCATCCCTCAGAGCGGCACCCAGGACGTCAATCTACAGCCAGAGGACTTCGTAGTTAGTGTGAGTTTTTAATTAATGTTAATATTTATCATATAATTTGCTCATGGCCTTAAAACTGGGAGATTCTTTTTAATATGGATATGCTTTTGTTGCTTGTCATTGGATTTAGTTATATTTGGAGTCAGGGTGTTGCCTGTACTTTTGGGGCTTTAGGCTCTTCACGATGTAATACTTTGTCTGTTTTAGGTTATTGTCATGGATTATGGGATGAAGGAGAAGAACCCCATCAACAATGTGCGTTTCTATTGCAAGAACGACGTGACTAAAGCCATCCAGATACGCAAGAATCAGGTCAGAAGTAAAGCAAGATGCGAAAAATTCAATTTTTGAATATATGAGCACGTTTCCTTTGGTTTTTCATTTATTCTTCTTTTAAAAAAACAGTGTCTCTTTCCCTCTGCCTCTGTAATTTGTGGCTGCTGTTGTTCTTGTCAGGTGTCTAAACTTCTTCCAGAGCAGTTTGTTGAGCAGCTGATCAGGGTCTACTGTAAGAAGACAGATGATAAGACTTTGGAGGCTGCCAAGAAGCACTTTGTTCAGTGGTGCATGGACAGGAACTTCTCAAAGCCTCAGGTACTGTTTATCTGCTGCACTGTAAAGAATTGCAGTTGAATGCAGCGGCAGTGGTTAAAATATTGAATGGAGTCACATAATGAATAGGTCTGTGTTGTTACCTCTCTGCCACGCCTTGCAGCCTTGCAGTGGTAATGCAAGAGTCTATGTGGATTGCATGGGCTTAAGTGCTAATTGCTTTTATCCATATGTTATTATGTGTGGATAAAGGCATGTGTAACAGTTGTCCTCTCCTTGCTGCAGTCATACAGTTTATCTCCAAGTTTCAGCTGCAATTATCTGGTGCTTTAAATTCTAAAAAGAGGCCATTAGTAGCATGTTATATCTGCAGAGTGTGCAGGTAAGTTATGTTAGATTATTAGCTGATTCAGTCAAGCTATAATAGATGTTTTTAACATTTGTATCAAGTGTTTACATTCACAGAGCTTTATACGTCCCACATAACTGTTTAGCTGCAACAGTGTGCTTTTTGTTTTCTGGCTTTGGGACACTGATCCAGCTCTGCACCCTCTCCAGGAAACTTGGAGAGGCATGTTCTTTGTGGACTTGGAAAAGGCTTGGTGTATCCTCCCACAGTGTGCCCTGTGGGAGTGTATATCGGGCCCATAAGGGCACAAGACTTGTTCACTGAGGGCGTAGAACTCTGTCAGACCTTCTTTTTGTCACATATTCTGTTCATCGCTCTTATGGACAGAATTTCTTGGCTGTGCCTAGAAAGTGTGTCCATAAAACACTGGAAAGCTTTCCAGTGTGGTGGCCTCAGGATGGAAGTCAGAGAGCTGCTTCTCTACTCCTCCATGACAAAAGGAGCCAATTAAAAAAATAAAATTGTACACAGAACTTTTAAAAGACTGTGTGGTTTGCTTGTAGGTTAGATATAATGCCACTTCTGTTTTTTAACATAATGAACATACAGCTCATTGGCATTCGTGTTTACGAAGTATTATGTATGAATTTGAAACCGATATGCTGTTAAATCCGGAATAAGAAGCATCACTTAACAGTCGAATTCCCTCTCGTGACTTGCATATCGTTCCTTCCACTGCAGCTGGCAGTTCCTCATACACTGTACCAATAGCAAACAAAAGCCCTTTTCATGAAGGATTATTATTTCCAGGGTTGGTCATGTGACTTAGAAATGTTTTGTCACATATTTGAGCTTGTGATTCCTGTAAAAAACAAAAACAAAAAAGTCTCCATGCTTTGAAAGGACCAAAACCTCAATTTGCATCCTGAATATTTTCCAAAAACCAATATATTCTAAAACAAACTCCCTAATTTTGTTATTCAATATACTCAAAATGGTGATAAAGACAATCTGAAACCTTGTGGAGGGAAAACAAAGAGCACAAATAGCTGAGATGCCATCTGAGAGTTATATGGTTGGGAATTTGTGGTGCAGTTTGTACAGAAGAAGTAACAAACATGTAAATAAGGCTAAACCTGGTGACGAAATGATGAAGAGCTTGGATTTAGCAGCTAAAAAGCCAAATATACAGACAAAAAAATCGAGTAGAAATGTAAATACTGAGTTTACACTTGCCACGTGGCCAGAAACTGCACTATAGAGGATCTATAAAACTGCTCTGTGACTGCTAGATGATTTAGTAATCAGCTGTTTTCTAAGCAGCAGGCTGAAGTAAATAAAAGGTGCTCACAGCTGGCTCAGACCCTGAACAACCAGGCAAACATCTCCCCATATTAGAAAGGACATAGAGGGTAAACACTAATCTTTTGTTGCTGAAGAGAAAGCAACTCCGAGGCAAGCTTTCCCAGATGAATGTGCCTGATCCCATCTGCCGGTGGATCACTGACTTCCTGACGGACAGGAAACAGCATGTGAGGCTGGGAAAGAATGTCTCGGACTCCCGGACCATCAGCACCGGCTCCCCTCAGGGCTGTGTTCTTTCTCCTCTGCTCTTCTCCCTGTACACCAACTGCTGCACCTCCACCCACCAGTCTGTCAAGCTAATCAAGTTCGCAGATGACACCACCGTCATTGGGCTCATCTCTGACGGGGATGAGTCTGCCTACAGGAGGGAGGTTGAACGTCTGGTGTCCTGGTGCAGCCACAACAACCTGGTGCTGAATGCCCAGAAGACAGTGGAGATTATTGTGGACTTCAGGAAGCACACAGCCCCACTCCCCCCCATCATCCTGACTGACACCCCCATCACCTCTGTGGACTCATTCCGCTTCCTGGGTACCACCATCACCCAGGACCTGAAGTGGGAGCCCACCATCACCTCCGTCATCAAGAAAGCCCAGCAGAGGATGTACTTCCTGAGGCAGCTGAAGAAATTCAACCTGCCAACACGGACGATGATGCAATTCTACACTGCAATCATCGAGTCCATCCTCACCTCCTCCATCACCGTGTGGTACGCTGGAGCCACTATCAGGGACAAACAGAGACTGCAGCGTGTTGTGCGCTCTGCTGAGAAGGTGATTGGCTGCAGACTCCCATCTCTGCAGGACCTGTACACCTCCAGGACACTGCGGCGTGCAGCTCGGATCTCAGCTGACCCTTCTCACCCTGGACACAGTCTGTTTGACCTGCTCCCCTCAGGCAGGAGGCTCCGGTCCATTCGCACCAGAACCTCTCGCCACAAGAACAGTTTCTTCCCCTCTGCTGTTGGACACATGAACAATAACCATATGACTGTCCCCGCCACTAACACATGACCCTACGCTGTGTCACTGCATCATTTCATGTTTGGCACTGATCACCACCTGCACTCATGTATATATCCTACGTAGCACTCATAATTCTTATTCTCATGTATATATCTCATGTATATCTCATGCACATATCTTTCTTTCTACATAGCACTTTAATTCTTATTGTTTGCACTGGAGCACCGCAGCAAATTCCTAATGTTGTAAACCTCAACATCTGGCAATAAACCCATTCTGATTCTGATTCTGAACTGTTTGACAGCACTTCCACCGACTAACAGCAGAGAGACATTTTCTCTGTGCATTAAAGGAAGTGACAGATCGAGATATTTTAGTTTTACTTTACATCTAGTATCAGTACTAATCATATAGAACATGCTCTGAGGCCTTGTTACTTTAGCATTTTTGCATAATTTAAAAAGGCATAAGTTGCTTGCTGCTCCTGTCTTTTGCTTAAAGACTGTAAGTCAATGTCCTAGAAAGGAAGAATTGTCTTCCAGATCCTTCAATTCCTGCAATCACTTGTTTATTTCCACCACTTGTCTCAACATCAGTATCTTTTGTTTCTGTTCTCACGCAGGATGGAGACATAATAGCCCCAGAGCTGACTCCTCTGAAACCCAGCTGGTCGAACATCAACGAGGATAGTGAAGAGGGCACATCCACAGAAGCAAACGGTGTCAATTTAAATGGAAAAAAGACGGCCAAAGCGAAGCTTTTCTAGTGAGAGAGGGAGATTTTACATATGGAGAAAGATCAGATGAAACAGTGTGCTATATTTTTCTGTGAGGAGTGTGCTGATGAACACAGCAAGTTGTTTTATATCAAAAAGGTTTCAAATATTCAAAAAGAGAAGAAGCATAGATGTCTTTCAGAACTTCTCAGGGTTTTTTGTTTGTTTGTTTTTTGGTTCGGTTTTGTTTGTGAATATGGTTTTAATTTAGACTTCTCTGGGGGGGAAATGTCTTATCATGTCATTAGATACCAAATGATGAATCAGGTCAGTTCAAATGTTACACAGACTACATTTCAGGGCAGTATATCTTATAGCTGGGATTTAGGTATTTTATTCAGCTTCAGCTAAAGTTTGAGGCTGTTTTCAGAACTCAGGCTTTCACGCACAAAATGTTACATATGAATCTGTGATGATATTTAAAGTGAGCATTTGCTTTTACTCTTGGGGTGGTTTGGAGAGTTGGTTTGACTTTTGTTTTGTGGTGTTTTATTTATTCTCCTTATTGTATCTCAGATTGCTCACTGTCATCTTCACCTCAAAGTTCAGTGCGACATTTTATTGGTAATGTGTTTGGGACGCCTTTTAAAATGATTCTTCTCTTGCCACGATATGGGGCATCATCATCAGATTTTTGCTGTGTTTAAAAATACATGTATTTTTAAAACAATCAAAATGATGGAGATAATCCTGTCAGAATAAATACTTTCATTCAACCATGTCCTTCTGTATGAAATTTTTATTGAACAGTAGAGGGCAGCATGCTCCCAGTCATGGCAAGGCAAGGAGTTTAATAAGTAAATGGCAATTTTGTGGTGTGATGGATCCAGCTCAGTGTATGAGCATGCAAATCACATGTCAGATGGCTGGAGTGCAGCACCTGGGTTCAACTTCTCTCTCTATCCACACCCGTCTGTTTATTGACTAAAATTAAAGAAATAATAATTATATTTCCATACACATAAGCTTTATATTGTATTGAATTGAGTGCTGACTTGTGGATGTGGCAAAAATTGTTTTGCAATACATATGTAAATGTCAGGTGTGTTGTTTTTTAAAAAAAAAAAAAAAACTTAGCCCAAACTGCAAAACATTTTAAGCCAAGAGTAACAAGTTAATATTTACCAATAAAAGCAGAATAAATGTTTAAGGAAGTCTAATGTTCCCATAACTAAACTAGGTTTTGTTTGCTGTCATATCTTCCTATCTCACAATAATTTAAAAAAAAAAAAAAGTCTTTTAAACACGGCAGCACGGTGGTTAGCACTGTTGCCTCACAGCAAGAAGGTCCTGAGTTCAATTCCAACATCAGGCCGGGGTCTTTCTGTGTGGAGTTTGCATGTTCTCCCCGTGTTTGCGTGGGTTCTCTCCGGGTACTCCGGCTTCCTTCCACCGTCCAAAGACATGCAGCTTGTGGGGATAGGTTAATTGATTAATCCAAATTGTCACTAGGTGTGAATGTGCGAATGAATGTGAGTATGAATGGTTGTTTGTCCCTGTGTGTTGGCCCTGCGACAGACTGGCGACCTGTCCAGGGTGTACCCTCGCCCTATGACAGCTGGGATAGGCTCCAAGTTTAAACATGATTCTTGAAAATTATTGGCACATAGTTCTAAAATGTATTTACAAACGTTTTAAATGGATTTTTTGCAAAGTTTATCTGAGTCTTGTCAAAAATGTACATTTAATGTTATAGTGTGGGTTGTTTTAGGGTTTTTTTAATCCACTGAGTCGTTTTATTTCTTTCTGATAGCGGATCATATCCCGTCCATGGTCCTCCGAAGAATAATAGTAAAAATAGAAGAAGAAAAGTGCTTGACTCGTGCATTCAGTAACGGGTCACTGACTGTTTTGATTACACAGCCAATAATATTGCAGTCATATGATCTTTGTGGTGGCCTCAGGGTCGGCAGCACATCATGGGTTGTGATATTTGCGGCTTCAAGATGAACCCATTTTATCGCCGTCTTCTATAAATCACGAGATAATCTAAGATTATCCGCCTTTAAGCAGGTGACTGTTTTGACCCAAATTTAAGAATGGTTCATCGTCTGAGTTATCCAAACGTTTTTTGATGTAACAAAAGTTTTTCACTGATGTAACAAAGAATGTTCCAGGTTTATTGTTGTATTTATAATAGTCATGTTTCAGTTGTTTTCATAAGAATTCTTTTTAAAATAATGAATCTGAAAATTATTTAAAATTAAATTAAAGTAGTTGTTTTGACGTGTCATTAGTTTCTGTGAAAGATTCTCTTTAAAAAGAAGAGAAGTATTATAGCGCCATCTGGTGGGTTGTTTATGGACCCATCTGCTGTTGAGAGTAATCGAAATAGAGAAGTGAATGAATTGAGGTATTCATTATATTCTAAAACAAAGTGACTGATTTATTATTGAGGAAAAATATCTGCAAAAGAATGAATCAATCATGAAAAGTCTTTCTTTGTGTGCTGTCAAATATGAAGTTCAAAATCTTCTGTCTTTCTTTTTTATCTCTTTAGATTGACATTTTGTTCTTCATATGATAATTTTGGAATTTGATCAGTTGTTTTGTTTCTTAAATAATTTTTGTTTGCTATGGTACAGTTAGTGCCAATAATGCAGCGGTCCCCAACCTTTTTTGCACCACGGACCAGTTTATGCCCGACAATATTTTCATGGACCGGCCTTTAAGGTGTTGCGGATAAATACAACAAAATAAAACTAGTACCGGTACCGAAAAAAAGAAGATTTATTCATAACACACGTGAAAAGACCCAGGAAAACCGAGTTAACGATAAAATCGATAACAAAATGGTGCTGAAAACCGATAAAAACCCTGAAAATCATACATTTCACACCTGAGCCTCAACTCTCGCGACCCGGTACCAAACGACTCACGGACCGGTACCGGTCCGAGGCCCGGGGGTTGGGGACCGCTGCAATAATGGATGTATTTAAACTGATAAATCTACCTTATGAGTCAGGATTAGTTTAGGTTTCAGTCAGTGTAATCTTCTGATCGATCTGTACAGATATACCTCTTTGCCTTAAGTTATAGCAGGAAGGAAACTATTAATAATACACTGTGGAGTCTATTGTTTAATCTGTTGTCACTGGGGTTTGGTAAATGACTTTGTAGTGGATATTTATTAGAATTAAACTGGTTTAGGTAAATAAATATTTTTGTAAGATTTTAACCAGGAAGCCCAGTCCTCCTCATGAAATAACAGCTACTAATATCAGCTGCTAAATAAGATGTTAAGCATGGAGAAAGACTTGGGTTTATTAAAGAGTTCTGAAAAGGGTTTATGAAATAAGTTGTCTGACAATAACTGAGGAAAAAAAATTCTTGCAAATTTATTAAAAGTAAAAAGCAAAAATATAACATATTTATAAGCTTAGCAAACCTAATTTCAGACAGTTTCTCCCATTTGTCTTTGCACAACCTTTCGGTTTAATGCTCACTGCATCCACTTGTATTAAACTGTGTTGAACACAAGAGGGAATCATACACTCATCTTTGGCTGCTGATCAGGAAATGCTGCTGAACTTCTTTCAATATAAACAATAATCATTTGATACAAAATACACAACACTTACCAAAACTCTGTGTTTGTTTGTTTTTCACATTTTAGAAATATGGGGACTAAATGTCTCTAAATATTTGTATTTCATGTAGGAAAGAAGCACTTTTGTTCTTTGTGCCAGAAAAAAGTAAACGATTGATTTGAATTCAAAACTTTACTGATTCACTAAATATCATTTCAGTCATAGTCAGTCTGGGGTCTGACTGTGATTGACTAAAACATCATTTTTGTAATCTTTTTCTTTTTTTAACTACCTGAACAACTGGTGCAACAGTAATTGATTAAAAAACAACAACAAGGGATGAGCCCCTGTTACTCAACCAGGAAGGTTATCTCACAGGATGTATGCAGAAACACCCGCCCTGATGCACCATGGGCACTCTTCCACATCCTGTGGCACTGCGGCAGGCAAAGAGTATCTGCCACACACACTCACACTGTGCACCGGCAGGACCAAGGCCAACTGCCTGCTAGTATTTTTATAATCTTCATCCTCTCTGACCTGTTGCACCCCTCCTGGCGCCACTGGTCTCAGCCCTCCCCCTGTGATGCCTCAGCTTTACACACATGCACACACATACACACACATGCTCCTGTACACTCAGCAGTCACTCCATGTATAATTGAGACCAGCTGTTGCAAGGTGCCTCTTCCCTAGACCCTATACCCTTCCCTCACCCTGCTGCTGCTGCTGCACTTGCCTTTCTGACTTAAAGCTATTCCAAAGCCCTCCTCCCCTCCCCTCCCTTTCCTTTCTCTTGCCTTACTCACCCTCCTCCTATCCCCCCCACATGCCTCCGAGTGTGTTTACTATCAGTTGTTGTGCTGATTGATAAATTGGTGTGATTTTGTTTTTGTTCTGCTCTTTTGTTTTTGTCTTCTCTCATTGATGATGCCTCTCAAGGAAAAAAATGTTGTTGTTTTTTTTAGCTGAAGTTGAATCCCGAAACAGATTTTTTAAAAATTTAAGAGAAGACATTCAATCCACACATTGTAATAGCCGTTTAGAGTCACGGCAGACTTTACTGATCTCTCAAAGCAAACTTTTCTGAGGCTCATCTGCAAGGTGGATCTATAACCCTCAGCTTCTCTTTGATTTTGACTAATTTCAGCCCAGTTTAAGTTTAAATTGGTGAAAAGGCTAGCCCACAAACAGCAACACTGTACAGACATTAAATATAATCTGTAGCTTTTTTTAATAACAAGTAATTTAAGTTAATTTTTAAGCACATTTTTTTTTTTTTTAATTCATCTCGTGGCAGATTTAGATTATTTTTTAAGGTTTTGGCAATTCTTTGATTAAATGATAACTAAATAATTACTTTTAATTTCTGGACATTTCTGAGGACTATGCAAAACATAATCAGAAGTAACTTTTTCTTATGAAGATGTAAAGATTTTTCTTTACTTTTTGACAACTTCACATGAAACAGTCACTTTATTTACAAAGTTTTGGCAAACAAAACTCCATTTAAAGTAATCCTTCCTGTTTGATAGATATCCATTGGATTGAGGTATGTTAGGGAGGTGAGATGTAACTGGCCCACTGGTGACGGCGAACTGCTGCACTGGGTCTGGAATGTGTGGATTTTTGGCAGAGGAATGGAAGAGGCAAGTGGAGGAAGGAGGGTGAGGAGAGGGCAGTAGGAACAGGCATGTCAGACTCTCTTTTCCAGCTGGTCGTGAGGGGTCAAACTGTGCGAGGATGTGTGCATGTCATGGCCTCTCATTAGGGGGTGAGACGCTGCGGCTCCAGACCCCCATGGTAGGATTGCTGGGTGAGTCTGTGGTGATCCTGCCACTTTGATGCCCCTGACCCCCACACCCCCCGCCAGGAGGTTAATGAGCCTCAGTGAGCTCCTAAACTATGCTGTTATTGTGTGTAGCTGTGGGTGTCTGTGTTGTTAGATTTGAGCTGCAAAGACCCTCCATAGTTTGCAGTGGTTAGATCACATGACCGGGTTGCATATGTTTGGGTGTGAAGCAGGATGTTAGAATCATTTCCAAACAGCTAAAGTAGCACCTGCTCCCCGTGGCGGCGCCATCCGAAGTATCGCATTCTCGTATCGCATTCTCGTATCGCCCATTTAGTTGTATTTGTTGTCTGTAAGCTGCTGTATGTGTCACTGCAATCAATAATCACCATCTTCTAA